ACACGGTAAACAGCTCGGACACAGAGGAGTCCTAATGTGAGCCGCACACAGGCAGATACACTGGGCACAGATGTGACTGAAGCAGAATACAGACGGACAATTCACACAAAAACATTCAAATCAATGAATTTCTATTCTGGCACCGTATTTGAAACAAATATCAATATATTAATAAATATTAATGTACTGGTTATATATATATATATATTTTTTTTATTTTTTTTACCGAATTGCTGCCTAAAACACTGATTTTTTAAATAAATGTAATAATTAATATACATTTTTAAATGTTACAATTAATTTATTTATAAGATTTTTTTAAGAACTTTATTTCTGGCACTGTATTTGAAATAAATAGCAATATATTAATGAATTCTGATTATATATTTGTTTTATATTTTATAGTTTTTTATTTATTTATATATAATTATAAAAAAATATGTTCTTTATTTATTAATATCTGTTATCATTATATATATATATATATATATATATATATATATATATATAGTATATATATAGTATATATATATATAAACCTAATTGCTGCTTAAACAACTGATTATATTAAAAATATATTTATACATTTAAACAAATGTAATAAATAATATAGATTTTAAATGCTATAATTATATTAATTAATTACTTAATAATAATAAAATATATATAATTATTATTATATATATATATATATATATATATATATATGTAATAATATACATTTTTAAAATGTTATAATTAATTAATTTCTAAGATTTTTTTAAAGAACTTTATATCTGGCACTGTATTTGAAATAAATAGCAATATATTAATGAATTCTGATTATATATTTGTTTTATATTATATCGTTTTTTTATTTTTTTATATATAATTATAAAAACATGTTCTTTATATATTAATATCTGTTATCATTATATCTATAGTATATATATATATATATATATATATATATAAACCTAATTGCTGCTTAAACAACTAATTATATTAAAAATATATTTTATATATTTAAACAAATGTAATAAATAATATAGATTTTAAATGCTATAATTATATTAATTAATTACTTAATAAAAAAATATATATATTTAATTATTTTTTATATATATATATATATATTGTATATTTATGTAATAATTAATATACATTTTTTAAATGTTATAATTAATTAATTTATAAGATTTTTTAAAGAACTTTATATCTGGCACTGTATTTGAAATAAATATCAACATATTAATGAATTCTGATTATATATTTGTTTTATATTATATAGTTTTTTATTTATTTATTTATAATTATAAAAAAATATGTTCTTTATATATTAATATCTGTTATCATTATACATATATATATATATATATATATATATATATAGTATATATATATATATAAACCTAATTGCTGCTTAAACAACTGATTATATTAAAAATATATTTATATATTTAAACAAATGTAATAAATAAAATATAGATTTTAAATGCTATAATTATATTAATTATTTACTTAATACAAATAAATAAATAAAACATATATATATATATAATTATTTACAGTATATTAAAATATAATTTAGTACATGTAGGATACAAATTGTATTAGAATACCAATGGCTACATGCAAAATTCTCCGAAATCCGTCGTAGTATAATGACTTTTGTCTGATGATGACCTTTCTCCAATGCAGAAAATATTTTCGTTTGGAAAATACTGTATACACTATCCACATTATTATGTCATTTTAAGACTCTGGATCATGAACGAAATGTAAATGATGAAAATAAAATCAACAGCCTAACAGGGCACTGAGCCAACAGACCAATTAAACAAGCAATTAATGAGATAGATAGATAGATAGATAGATAGATAGATAGATAGATAGATAGATAGATAGATAGATAGATAGATAGATAGATAGATAGATAGATAGATAGATAGATAGATAGATAGATAGATAGATAGATAGATAGATAGACATGGCTAATTATATATTCAATCATATTTCCCTGTTCTGCGTCCACAGACACACACAGAGATCACCGGTCGGTCGGCTAGACAAAATGACAGCTGCATAAGCAACACACCCCTAAAATTAGTCTAGGACAATCAGCCAACGTGCTGCACTCATCAACACACTCACATACAGACACACACACACACACAACACACTCATCCTGACCACAAACACAATGAAATATGACAGCTGGCATCCCTCCTCACCTCCACAATCTCCATCTAAGTGTCATCTCCGTGCGTGTCCCTCCTCTCTTCTAAGCCCAGCTGCAACTACATCAGAGTATGGAGTAACAGGGATGCTGATGGATTTTGGGGAGTCTGAACTTCAGAGAGCATGCTCAGACATCACGTAATGAAGACTGGGAACCCGAGTGCATTTGCTGAGCACATCCTGTAGTCCTTCAAAGTCCCCGCTAGATGGCAGTGTATCACCTCATAAACTCACTACGGGAAGAAAACAGAAGCTAAAATTATTTACAGAAGGCTTTGTTTAAATATGAGATGTGCATTAGGTTTCTATAATACATAAGACTATGATACATATTAATATAATACTCTTTATATGATAATGAAATAACTGGTTTCTCTATAATTTACTAAAACGCTTCCCTACGGCACTCATATTCAATTACGTCTTGACAACTGCATTTCGGCTTTTTAAATGAAAAGCGAAACTTAATTAACTTAAATTTACTTAGATATTAATGATATTGATCATTTAAAAAAGGTAATTAATGATTTAATCACATTTAATTCCTTCTTTTCCTGAATGGAAAAAAGTCCTGATTAGTTTTTCAAAACTTCCGTTCCAACTGTCTCTATTTCCGGTCGAAAACGAGCTTAGCGACCAATCACAACTTTTATTATTTGAACATGTGATTAAAAAGTAATAATCAATTTGTTCATAAAGATTGTAAAATATTGTGTGTAGCCTATATATGGTAACTTGTCAAGAATTATTTCAAGTGTTTCACCATTTTAATCACCTTGCAGCTGTTTTTCCTGATCACTTGGACAGGTCTACACTATGATAAATACATTTTTAATGTAGCCTATATTCAGTGTAGTCTCAATTAATATATGTGCATAAAACTGCAAATAAAATGAGAACTTTATACAGAAATATAGTCTACTACAGGCCTATAAACACTGTTCCTAATAGTTACCACATTTTTTGTAGAAGCAATAACTGGCTATAGTAACTAGTATTTTGGTGAAACCCATAGTTTGCTAATAATATTTGCTACATTTGTGCTCTGGCTGGCCAACAACAGATGAAGCAATTAATAGCATGTATGGGCTTGATAGAACCAGTTTCTAGTACATTTTTAGCTAAGGTGATCATTTAGTTTTATGTATGAATAGATACATTGATAATTTTTAACACTGATGTTGGGTGCCGATGTGGTTTCTTGAGTTGTGCAATCGCAATTGCAGAATGTGCAGCGAGAAACTTGCTGATGATGTCAAAAAGAAAAAAAATCTACAAAGATAAGCAATTTGAAAAGTCCAGCTCCACCTGTTACTGACAAATACACAGTCCTCCCTCAGATATAACTCAGTAAAATAAGCCAGTGCAAGTGCTTCCTTGCCATATGAAAGACTAGTTTAACCATTTGAGGAAGTAAACAAAGGTGGAGTGATGAGCAAGGGCTCTGTTGCAAGTTCATTTGTGGTGGTAAAAAGCCAAAAAAACAGTCTTCACACAACACACGAATGCTTCTGCAACGACTCAGATATATCTGTGTCCCCTTTAATACAGAGCAGACGAGACACATTTCACAGAATTGATATTCTAGGTGTCATTCTGAAAGATGGTGGTTGATTCATTCACACTCATCCTTCAACCGACAGAAGCCCCCCTCGTCTGGCTCGTAGGAGAATCCCACCTCTGTGTGAATACACACACACACATGGGCACAGGTTCCCACAGAGTTTGCATGCAGACACACGCACGGACACACATGCAGCAGTCTTTCCTATCATCTCCTCTCCTCCATCTTCAACAAGGCATCCTTTCAGTGACCCGCTCCAGCTGCACGTGGAGGGATTCAACCCTGGAGACACTACCTTACTGTTAAAGAGAGAAAACGAAGGGATGATCGGATTAAAAATGGACTCAGGGCTAACAAGTGAACAGAAACAGCAGGTACAGACACGCGGCGATACTGTACTGTACGCGGAAATTCGTGGAAAACACACCCGAAGGCTCACTCATTTACCTGTGGCCTGAAGGCAAGGAACTGGTACTGAAATATGTGTAAAAACACACACACAGAAACAAACACACACACACACATATTTTAAGGGGACTTTCCATAGACATAATGATTTCTATACTGTACATTCTCTCCCCTTACACTAACCCGACCCCTAAACCTACCCATCACAAAAACCTTTCTGCGTTTTTACATTTTCATAAACATCACTTAGTATGATTTATAAGCTCGTTTCCTCAAGGGGACCAAGAAATGTCCACACAAGCTCACGGATTTTGGATATTGCCATCTTTGTAGGGACATTTTGTCCCCATAACGTAAGGTTTACCAGGCCAGACACACACACACGCACGCAAGCATTCGCACCACACACATACACACACTCACACACACACACACACACACACACACACACACACACACACACACACTCACACGCATGCACTAACACACACACAAGAAGCTAATGAGAGCAGACTCTGGACTGAGTTCTCAGTCTGATTTGGCCCCTGTCTGTTTTCAATCGGCCTTTCAATGATTTTTAATTTATATCACTCACTCTCACACTCTTTCCAAAGAGCTCAATCCCTCCCTCTCTTCATTCTCACTCACTTTTTTCCCCTCCCTCTGTCACACAAGCACGCGGATGACAGTTCCCCTATCTCTCAGAGCCAGTGCCTGTATTTTAAATAGGGACTTGTTTGTATTGAATGCAGTTTGCTGTTTGTTGTGATTATGCTCATTTCGACTTTTTTCTTTTTTGGGTCTACGGTTTCAGTTTTTTTCATTTCTAATGCGGTATCGTTGAATAGGCGTTTGCTGAACTTTCTTTTATTTATTGTTTTGGTAACTCTTTGCCCTGTGGTTGAAGTTCTCTAATAATATTCAGAGAAGCAGAAAAGAGGGGGAGTGTGTGAGAGTGAGTGAGTGAGTGAGTGAAGGAGAGAGAGAGAGACAACTCTGAGCCGCAACAGCTGGTTTTCAGGTTTGAAGTTTTGACAGCCGTGACTGAACAGCCACTGTTCGTCCCAGCCTGTACGAGGTCACTTAGTACCTCTGGCTGGAGGAGAGCGAGTGCAAGGTGCCTGATGGGACAAGTAGGGGTTTAAGCAGCCCGGAGGGACACCAGCAGGACACCGGTGGACAGGATTCGGCACCATGAATCGCAAGGAGTCAAAGAGGTACAGACTTTCTATTACATTCTGCCTGTCCTTTGACAGTCCATTGACAGGCGGCTACTCTCTTTAGAAATGATTCGATGACACCTCAGCGCAAAGCTCTGCTTTAGTTCTCCGTGTCACTGGGTTTAATGTGCACTTGAGGCTTGATAAGTGTGTCGGTGCCTCATTTTGCAGCGCATTGCAAAGTGATCACTGTGGTTATCTGACAAAGCTGTGGTTTCTCATCATGTTCTTCAGAACATTGTGTTTAGGTTTCAGTTCTCTGTGAGAAAGACAGGCTAGTCACTTTCAAAACGGTTCAAAATGCACATTCATCATTCAGACGCTCTCTTCGGGGATCAGACTATGTTTGCATTTGCAAGATTGTATAGATTCACACATGTGTGCTGTGAAGAAGCAGGGGTGCTTGTCTCTGATCTTTAAGAGGGGATTTCGCACTAGGGAGATGAATTGCTTTTGACCTAGTTATACTCCTGTGACCTGTTGTGGATAGAGGTATGTTCGCGCGCTGTGTTTACAGTACATAAGAGGCATTAGCAGGAATATACTGGTCGGTGTTGTGAAGAAACATTGCTATTGTCCACTCATTTAATACCTAATCAGTAAGTTAACTGATGCTACAAACGGAGTCAGATTTTAAAAGAGTGTCAGTGTACATAAAAGTTCTGCCTGCGTAAAATGACTAGTGTAACTAGATAAATGTCATAAATCAACGTGAGAATGGTAAAATCGATATTTCTGACTAGAAGCCTATGGGGCGTCTGTTTTGTGCATGTTATCTCAGAGGTCTTATCTGATTGCTTGGAAATGACAGACATAGCAGTGGCTACAGTGATGCTATCAGCATGAGTCTCATCACAGCAAGTTTATGCAAGCATGTACTACTTCATATTTAATGATTAATATTTAATATTCAATATTTCAATAAAAATAATACTTAATATTAAATATATAATTTGAAAATTATATATATATATATATATAGTATATATATATATATATACACAACTATATATATAAATATTATATATATATACATATATAAGTATAAAATAATATATAATAAACTTATTGTAAATTATATGTATATATATATACATTATACATATATATATATATATATATATATATATATATATTCAATGTATATTTGACAAATATCACTATTTGTCAAATATAAATGTTTTTTTCACATCTGAGATCTTAATACTAAATATATAATTTGAAAATTATATATATAAAACAGATATATGAAAGCCATTATAACAAATAAATATGATATACAAATATATAAAATATATATATATATATATATATTTATATATAGTTTAAAATATGTATTTTATATATATGATGCCTTCATAAATGATTTTAATATATATTTGACAAATATCAGTATTTTTCAAATGAAAAATATTACAGGTACATGAGATGGAGGGTATAGACTAATGGAGAGAGAGAGAGAGAGAGAGAGAGAGAGAGAGAGAGAGAGAGAGAGAGAGAGAGGGAGGGTGGGCTAAAAACAAGACCTTCAAAGTGCTCTGGCATCAATTAATCAATTAACGAAAGAAAGGGAAGAATTTGCATGTTCCCTGACTCTTTGTGTGTGTGTGTGTGTGTGTCTGTGTGTGTGCATGTGTGTGCATGCCTGCGTGCGTGCGTCTGTGTGTATGTATGTGTGTGTGTGTGCGTGAGTGTGTGTGTATGCGTGCGTGTGAGTGTGCGTGCGTGAGTGTGCGTGCGTGCGTTGGTGTGTGTGTGTGCGTGCGTGCGTGTGTGTGTGTGTGTGTGTGTGTGTGTGTGTGTGTGTGTGTGTGTGTGTGTGTGTGTGGAGGGAGAGCGTTGGGGGTAGGGTAATGGAGCTGGAGATGCAGCCAGGAACTGGGAGTAAAACACTGGCTACTGTGGCAGGGAAGGGGTAGGGGAGGTTGGGGGGATTTCCAAAGAGAAAGGAGAAGTTGTTTTCTGAATGACATGAATAGAGCAATGGGTGCAGGAGGAGAGGAAGAGAAAGTGAGCGAGTAGGTGCTATGCATGGCTGAAACACTCATACACTGTATGATTGCAAATGCTTCATTGGATTATGATACTGAATGCCAGGGGTCATGTGCAGATGCAAACAAACCAAACATACTCAAAAAGAAGTTCACTGAGCTAAAAACAGCACACTGGTTCTATAGGGGTCAGTATATTTAATTATAATAATTGATCATTTTTCACATTAATATTTGTTGTAAAACGAAGCAAGACTGAGTGAAGGTGAAATATACAGTACTATTAGATCAACAGAGGTCCAATTATTTATCCAAGCTTAAGTTGCGTTCACATTTACTGTTGCTTGCGAATTTTCACAAGCGAAATCCAGTCATTTCAATAGGAATCCATGCTTTCTGGCAGAGAAAGTGTGAAGAGTACCTGAAGACCATACTTCAGTAAAAGTACAGATACCTTACAGTGAAAATGACTCCATTACAAGTTCCAAGTAACCAACTTCAATCCCACTTGAGTAAGTCTTAAAGGGGTCATATAATGGTACATGCACTTTTTCAAGTTGATTGTACTAAAATGTGTGTTGGCAGTACCCATCATATAATGGTAAAAATCTATCCAGTGTTTTTTTTTAATCTCCTTATATGTTTGCCCCAGTCTCAAATCGAGCCGTCTGACCGTGTGACGTCACACGGTCGGACGCCCCTCCCACGATTATTGATTGACAGCAGCGTTTCAACACAGACCCGCCCTGAGCGAGCTGTCATCATAGTCCGTCATTGTTGATACGCTGGAGCAGAATGGCGTCTAAGCGATTGTGGTGTTCTGTTCTTGGGTGTAATAACGAACACAGCAGTCATTTTGATGTTCCTAAATCCGAACCGCTAAAGACGCAGTGGCTGAGTTTTGTTTTCGAAGGGAATATTCCCCACGATCAACGTCAATGCTTTCATGTTTGGGCGAATCATTTCTCACCAGACTGCTTTATAAACGAGGGTCAGTATAAAGCTGGATTTGCTAAGAAGCTGCTGCTGAAAAAAGGTACCAACTATTCGTGTTCCTGCTGAACCTCCAGAAGAAGTGAGTGTAAAGTTTTATAACCTTTATATTAATCTTTGCAAATCGGAAAAAAAAGTTTTTCATGACCATTAACTGTAACATCAATCAATCTGTCAATGAAGTAACGTATACATCAGTAAACACATAGCGTTCGTATCTCACTACTCTACCCTGCCAGTGCATACAAAGATAGATCAAAGTGACATTACGTTAACCAACCATTCAGAAACGTCCTGTTCGAGCCTTAATTGTCGAACTTCTTCGGGCCGTCATCTTGTTCCGGGTCCGACTCCGACTCCGGTTCAAATTGATACGATTGCACAGATGTGTCCTCGAGACTCCCGCTGTCATTCTTTCTCCAAAATATACCCTCAACTGTTGTCAAGGCAACACTCCACGTGCGTTGTGTCAAAACGCCAGCAGAACAGAGGGGTGGAGTCAGCGAAGCTCATTATCATTTAAAGACACATGCACTTAAATGGCGTGCTGAAAACAGAGCTGTTTTTGACCAGGTAAAATAAGTGTTTTCCTACAATACTAATGAGAATTTTTAATTAAAGTATATTACAAACTTTTTATTTAGACCCTAAAGAATCATATTAACTTGTATAAAAATGGCATTATATGACCCCTTTAAGAGTATCTGATTTTAACAGTAAGCCTACTTAAGTATTTGAATGGCTCAAAGATGCTCTAGTCCTCGCCACCTAAGAGACATGCGAAGAAACAGTTGATTTGGAGAGCAAGCACTCAAGTAGTGTCAAATGCTTGCTTTCTGGAGTTTCATGTGAGGGTGAAAAGTTTTCCACAGCGATTTCGCTCAAGGTGGTCACGCAAATTTTCCGTGCTGACCACCAGAAATCTGCTTGGCTTGAAAGTTCTGACTTCTGTGTGAGAAGTGCTTCATACATCGCTATGCTATTGACAATGGACCTTTTTTTGCCCCTCGAAATTTCGCGAGACAGGGATAGCTGAAGGTCAGTGTAATGGACGTGCTGAAACGTACACAATGCTACCCCCCACACTAAAGGCCGGGACACACCCAGCCGATGGTCGCCCCCGGACAAATTTCGGCCGCTTTCGAGCGTCGGTCAGCTACGTTTTTTCGGTGTGTTCTGGTTTTCATGGGCCGATTCAGCATGTTGAATCGGCATTGGTGAGAGAGAGAACTCTGATTGGCTTAGCACAAGAATAAAAGCGAGTGATGAAAGCGAGCAGAAGAAGTCAAGGCGGTACAGACAAGACGGCTGTTATAATTTTACATCATCTTACCTAAGCATTCGAATGCACGAATATTACCATAAAACATGATCTGACTGGATCAGCGTGATTGATATTTCAAATGCTAAGCAAGCATTGCTTTGTTTACGGTTTGTATATATGCAGTCCTAGTTTCGGTTTCCCTTTTTGAATGACGAAGATAGACTATTGAGACCTGCTGATATAGACAGATATTTCCTTACACGCAGGAGCAGAACGCATATGCTAGTTGACAGTCGCCTTTAGTCCTTTTGGTGTGTTCAAGCGCAGCTTTTTGGCCGAGACGTGGCGACGAGAGGCGAGAAAACAGTCAGCTTTCGTCGCCGCTAGTTCTTTGACGTTGGCTTGGTGTGTCCCGGGCTTAACAAGCTTTTGCAACCAATTGTAAAGACCTTTCAGGATGTCCCTTACTCCAACCTCCAGATACCCACACACTAATTCTCACTGAAATATTGCTAATGTGACAGCACCTTTAGAGTAAAAAAAAAAAAAAAAAATTATCACATTGACAGTTTAAAAAGTCAAAATTACAATACATAAAAATGCAATTGAGTGACATGAGCATTTTGTTCTAACTTCATGCATTCTTTTTTATCAACACTTGAATGTGGCTAAGTTTCATTAAAAAAGCAACATTTTAAACAAAAAGATGAGAAAATCATGTTTTTGTCAAAGACTACATCCGGATCAGATTCAGAACGATGATCAAAACACAGATGGAGTCGATCGAGTGTTATATGCTGTTTAATGTTTGCGTTATTTTACAAGAGCGTAAGCAATGCTTCTATCGCTTGTTTCTGCTTCTTCTCCTGTGTTTTGATCCGGAGATTTAGTACTCTATCGGAAAATATGTAATAGCGCCCCCTACTGTATAACAATGAAAACACGGATTGCTGGAAATTATCATCAAGGTGGGGAAGCGTTGTCATAAATGACAGAAAATTCTGTCAATGGTGGGGAAAGAGTTAAATAGCGATATAAGATCAAATTCAAATCGCAACTCTTAGATATAGTCGTAATTATAAAATCACAGGGCTTTCTTTTAAGTTTAAATTTGAACTTTTTTTACAATAACACCAAATATTGATTCAACATTGTAAGGTCCCAGGTGATTCCACACTGCATATACATTTGCATAGACTTGTTTACATTTACATTAACCAAGTGCATTTTCCCTCATTTGTTTACTGTATGTATGAGTCTGTATCTATGTGTGTATGTGTGTATGTCTGCAGAGTGTGTATTGTCTATTGTCATCAGCCGTAGAGCAGGTTGATGCAAATAAGCAAGCAAGAGAGGTGAAAATGTGATGGTGAATTTGCATTATGCAGTCATGTCTAATATCTGGCCTGTCAGAAATAGAATGAAAGGAAGAGAAGGAAATATGAGGTGTATTTTATGAAGGTATAAATAGGAAGGCCAAAATATCTTCCCGGTCTACAAACTTTAACCGAAGTGAATTTATGCTCTGGGCTCGCTTGAGTGTGTATTCGTGTAGCCCTGATCTCAATGGTTAGACTTGGTTTGCTTAATGAGATGAGAAGGTCAGTGTGTACGTGAGCAGAGAGAATTGAAAACGAGTGTGTTGAACTGGACATTGGTTCAAGAGGAAGGGAGAGAGAGCGTTTGGGAGGGGTTTGGACGTTCTAAGAACTCATCGCTACTTCTCTGCAGTCTCGACCAGCTTCCTGTTCGTGACACTGCCGTCACCGACCACAGTGATTATTGCTGATGCTGTCAGAGACATAATTCGATGTCCAAGTCCAAGAAGGACATATTACTAACTTACGCATTTACCAGCAGATGTGAATTTTACAGACTGTTAGACTGATGTACAATGTTGTTGTTTTCTTTGTGTGACTGATAAAATAAGAGCAAAGCAGAAAGACAGAGATGCTTATCTACTCTCTCTAACTGTCTCTCTTCCTGTGACATTGACGACCTGAATAGTGGCATCTACTGTATAGGGGGACAGATATCAACACACAACCTTACATATACTGTAAACATCAACTTACTTGATCTACCGGTAGGGCTTGCAGAGCGCGAACAGTCACACATGTACACAGGCCTGTGCAGCAGACTTCAAGTGGAACCCATTGCTCTTGGTAAAAAAAAGAAAATGTGTTAGTGTAGATATAAATAATATTTATTTTCGCACCTGTGTCTGCAGGTTTACATCTGAACAACTAGTCACTAGATATTTATATTTTATAAAGAGTGTTGCTTGCTGCTCTGTGCAAAACTCACTGCAAAGGTGCTAGGGTGGTTTCTAGTAGGGCTGGGTAAAAAAAATATATATATTTCTCGATTCTCATTTGGAAGAACTGATATCAATTCCCCTCTGAGCCCTTTTTCTTCAGGAAAATCAATGTAATATATTTTCGTTCTAAAATATTTTTTCGATTATTATTTCGAATTTTGAGGGGATTTTATAATACTATGCAATATTTATAACATTTTAATAAAAAAAATCATTTAAATAAATTTGAAATATTGCATTTATTGAAAAATAATTATTTTTTTAAATAAACTAACATATCCGAATCATTTTGTGTGTGTGTGTGTGTGTTCACAGAATACTGCCACAAAAGTCACCAAGTGCCCTGCCATTTATGAAGCAAAATGTTAAAAATTCAAAACGTAAAATGTTTTTGGTCAGTTCTGACCGAAGAGGCCTAGAGGGTTCAATCGCAAAAGTCGATCTTTCCGTCTGTTTTCCGTTGATGAATAAACAACTTTAACACGCATCCCATCCATTAAATCGCAATACGCTTGGTGCTTTATTACTTCTGATATGAAACAACATCTCAGCTTTCAAATTCTGTCAAATCTATGACGAAATAATACCGTTTTGGCGCTCTTTATTGTGGCGCAACATGTCGCCTTCACGATGCGCACGCGAATGATCATCTCTTCCCCGTTTTATTGCTGCTAGTTATACAACATGAAATAAACACGATGTAGAAGGTATGTTGAAAGATACAGTACAACTTACTGAAATCCGTATCATGTCTCATGTAAGCACTCAATCAGTGTTTCAATCGCGGAATGACATCAATAATAGCCTACAGCTTGAAATATAATGTCATGTAATGTTACATCCTTAGTTAAGCCATTCAATGCCCAGAAACGTGTTATACCGCTAGAAAAATGAACTTAGACAGGAGAATTTTGATAAATATATGCACTATAGGCCTATTGCATATTCATTGTATTTCTACATATCATGTTCTTCAGTTTTGCCATCTTTACCTGATAGGCCCAAATGAATCGATATCGAATCAATTAGAATCGAATCGCAAGCTTGTGAATTGAATTGAATCGTGAAATTTGTGTCAATCCCCATCCCTAGTTGCCTATTTATTCACTAGGTCTTCTGTGGGTTAGAGTGTACTGGCAGGTTGTTAGGGTGTTTCTAAGTGGTTGCTAGGGCATTTCTGGATGGCTGCTAAGTTGTTCTGGGTTGTTACTAGGGTGTTTCTAAATGGTTGCTAATGTGTTCTGTATCTGCCCGGACATTTCTAAGTGATTTCTAAGTGCTTTATTCAAGTGTTTGTCTGGCTGGTTGCAAGACTATAAGTGGTGGCTTGTTTGGTTGCTAGGGCATTTCTAAGTGTTTGCTTTAGTGTTCTGTGTGGTTGCTAGGGCGTTTCTAAGTAGGAATCGGGGTGTTCTGGCTGGTTGCTAGGTTATTTATGTTGTTTATAAGGTGTTCTGCATAGATTTCTTTGCATTCTTTTATTCAAGGTCATGTGGCGTATCAATCTTCTTTTGGTCACACGTCTTCACGTGATATAAATTCGAACTTTGGGGCGCAGCGAAATGCGAAACATGTTTGCTTGAGCTAGCTAGGCCTAGTGTTTCCTATACCCCACATTTGCATGCGTAAGAATGGAAGTCAATGGAACAAAATGTGTAGAATTACCCCTTTTCAGTAGTTGCTGGGGAGTTTTGATTGGTTGCTAGGGCTTTTTTAAGTGGTTGCTAAGGAGTTCTGGATGGTTGCTGGTAGGGTTAACACCTGTCACGGTTTTACCGGGATTGTCCTTCTTTTTAATAACCGGTCCCGGGAAATTTATGCACTCTCCCGGGACACTGAATGTCCCGGTTTTCGAAAGGCTACGTGAATATGTATATGTTCAAACTGTGTAGCGCGTGCACGGCTGAGAGGGAGAGAGCGAGAGACCTTGCATGTGTGTGCTAGTGTGCGTGTGTGCCTCAAAAAGCGCATGTAATTGCATCGATATGTCCCGGTTTTTTATCAGACATAGGTGGCAACCCTAGTTGCTGAGGAGTTTAGACAGGTTGCTTGGGAGTTTCTAAGTGGTTGCTAGGTGTTTGCTTATTGGCCTAAGTCAAAAGATCACATGCCTCGAGTCTCTATGATTTTCTCACCCTTTAATATGACTCAGTTTGTGACATTTTTTGTTATGTACCCCATGAGAAACTGTCAGACCTATGAGAAAAGAAACAGGATATTAGAATAAACAAACAATTTAAAGGTATAGTTCACACAAAAATGAAAATTTTCCCATAATTGACTCGCCCTTGAGTCATCCTAGTGTTCTTTCAGCCAAACCCATTCTGAGTTAGGCTATATTAAAAAATATCCGGGCTCTTCCAAGCTTTATAATGGGAGTGAATGGTACCCAAAAAAGTGCATCCATCCTTCATAAAAGTAATCCATGCGGCTCCATGGGGTTAATAAATGCCTTCTGAAGTGAAGCGACGTTTTTTTTTGTAAGAAAAATATTCACATTTATAACTTTATAAACTATAATCACTGGCTTCCATACCTAATGGCCGTACGTGGGTCTAGTTCCGGCGGAACCATTCACTCCCATTATAAAGCTTAGAAGAGCCAGGATATTTTTTAATATAAAAATACTCTGATTGTGTTTTGCTGAAAGAAGAAAGTCAGTAGAAATTATATACCTAGGATGGCTTGAGAGTAAGAAAAGTATGGGATAATTAAAATTTTTGGGTGAACTATGCCTTTAAGCCCAAAGCATACTTCAGCTGTCCACATTCCACAATGGTACGCAGACTGTCTGCATACAACAGTGCATGTGCGAATGATTTGAGGGCTTGAAAACAAAGTCCACTAGATAGTGCACAGGCGCCGGACGTGTTTTCCGCGCTCACAGCCTAAGTATACATTAAAAGGCTCCCGAGACTGAGAGGAATGCAGAAAATTAAGTATACCAGGGCCTTTAGGTGGCTGTGCAGTATCTTTAGGTGTATGTGCTAATACCTAAGAGGTAGTCTAAGCGAAACAGAACACTTAACACAACATTTCTCACAACCAGATCACATATAAACCATGACACACAGCCATTATCGGAAAAAAAAGCCCCATCATCACTACTGTGGTTTTCAATCCAGCATTAGGGAACCACAAATGAAGTGTTCATCATCAACAACATATTTCATAATATTAAACAAAAGATCTAAATGCTGCTTAGCCTGGTAAAGACAAGTGACCGATGAGATACTGTGAAACTTCTGTGGTTTGATGGACGTCTAAAACTATGTTCTGTAAACTGTTGCTATATATACTATGTTTAGTTTGTTTGCGTTTGGGAATTTTTAATTAATGCTTGTGTCCATGTCCCATTTGCACTGTTGATCAGCATTGGTTGTTTGAATATACCTTTTTTTTTTCTTCACGTGTTTGCAGCAGCAGGAAATCCTGTGCTGTGATAAAGACCAGGAGACCAGTTCAGAGGAGAATGACTTGCCCGAGTCCTCAGGAGATCAGCCGGGTCCTTCAGAGTCCACCGGCTCACTCTTTCCGCTCTGCCAGCCTGGACGAACTCATCGTCCGCTGCCTCCACTGCTTCGGTCAGTGTTCGACTCACCTGTATCTGTCTGTCAGTGTCAGCCTCACCCTACATGACAGCCATTTGCATTCAACAGGTTGCTTGTCCTGATGTTTTCATGAAGAAAACATGACCAAATGATGACTTCCGAATAGTTAAAGTAGTTACATCCAGGGCTTCACATTAACAACCGGGGTTGAAATTTATATATAATATATACGTACATTTTTCAATTGTACTCTTTTAAAAAGGCATCTAAAATAATAAACTAAGTGCGATGCATTTTTGTCAAAAAATATAGATTTTTTCAATGCATATCGATACTGGAATATCTGAAACGCTTCCCATACTCATTTTCCACGGAATACACGATTCCAGCTGCGCTTTCTTGCTCTCTCATCTCTCTGATTTTGTGCTCACACCCAAGTGTGTGCACATAAAGCCGCCTTTCAGTACTAAAATAGTTCCTTTTCGCTGCTTATTGCGCTTAAACCGTCAAATACACACAAAATAATGTCAAAATGCCGGTCTTGGCGAGTACTCACGTAAACACAGTCAGTTATGTTTTAAGTGAACGTAAAGAGTTGAGAAAAAAACGTTCGTGTAACACTAATCCGTGCGTCACGTCTTAAAGTGACAGCAGCCTAATATACCTGCTGACAAATTATGAGATAATATTAAAAATATCTATATGGCAGTTTTTCCCCATGGTAGCTTGGTACCACAATGGCTAGTGAGAAAAAAATGTAAGTGTCAAGTCACTTGTCAGAACAAAAAGTCAAACATCTCCCACTTTTCTGGGGTTTCCAGCCCTGTCTCTGGCCTCATGTGCCCATCATTCCCAGTATCCGTGTGCCAGCCAGATTATGTAAGTCTGCCCGAGTAGTTTGAGGGACAGCTGCTCTTGTCAAAGAGAGAGGGAGAGAGAAAAAGAGAAACAGAGGGAAATCTTTTGGTTTACTAGCATTCAAGGCCTGGGAATGTGTTTGTCCCTCTATGCTAATGAGACAAAGCCTGATTGTGCGCCTCAGTTTCGCAGGCCTGCCCTCTCTCTTGCTCTCTCTATCTTTAGATGTCTCTCCCCCTCTCCCTCAGTTGTTTTTTTCATCATCCCCCTTTTTATAATACACTTTGCAATTTTTTTTCTTACCCTAAGTATTAAACTAGCGATCCACTATATATTTGTACCAAATCTGTTATTGGTCAATATTTGAGATTTTTAAATTCATCAGTATTGGTTGATACTAAATATTTCATGTTTATTTCCCACTTTTTTACCTTTAGATTAGCCTGGCTAACGTCACACCACGTCTCATTGACATTGAGACGTGGTCTGGGAACCACATGTTCATTTTCTCGTATTTGAGGCGGGGTTTACGAACGCCCAGAGCCGTTTATTGGGTGCTACGAATGTCTATCAAATGCGCCTGTACGTAGCTCATAGCCAATCGTTTCAATTATACCAGATGACGCATGTAGAGCGAAAGAAATTAGACGAGGAAGAAGACGATGGGTCCGAGATTTATTTGCGTTCTAAACTACTTAGAACAATATCTAAGGCTGCATCGAAAGGTAACTTCGCGTCTGCTGCCATGTTGGATCCATAGGTATAAACAAACTGCTTCGGTGTGTCGCATAGACGTCGTCATCGTCTTGCTGCTCCCTCCCCGTTCTGTGATTGGTCCCCTCGCTGAGGCGAAAATCTGGTCCATGGTATCCAGACTGCCTTGCAGCGTGAATAAAATCGTGCTGCGCAAAGGCAGTGTGGGGAAACCCAGGCTACCTTTAGATTACCTTTTACATCATCTAATTCTCACTTTAAAGTTGATAATTACAAATAATTATCATTAAATAACACTGTTAAATGTAATCATTAGCAAACCTTAAAATGAATACTCATCAATGTACATTAAAGTAATATTCACCTTAAAAAGGAACATTTTAAAGAGAATGTAGAATTCAGAAGCACTTGTTATTAGCAACACCGGTGGCTGATAAGTGAACTGCAGCCAGCGACGTATTGCTCGTGCTCGCACTCGTACACACGTAACGTACAAGACCCGATATACTCACGGAAAAGTTCTTTTTCGTTCTTTGCTTAAAAGTAAAAAGAAGTTGGAAATTCCTTTGCAGCGATATTGTTGTGATTCCTGTCTTGTGTGGACTTTTGTTATTTCCTGTTCTGTGCCATGTTTTGTAGTCCTTTGTAGTTTTTCTTGTTTATTAGTCTTCCCAGGTGTTTCTGGTAAGCCACGCCCCCCTTGTTATCTTGTTTAGCTTGTTTGCCTTTGTATTTAAGCCCTGTGTCTAGTTCAGTCTTTGTGAGTTCTTGATGTTGTAACGTTGGTTGTTCTGTTCCTGTTCCCGAATCTTGTTCCTGAGCCTATGTCTGAATTTGAGAAGTTTTGAGTTTATTTAATTAAAGTGTGCTGCACGTGGATCCTGCTTCCTCCTATGATTCAACCACATCATTACAGATATACCATAAACGAACATCCACACTGCTGACAGCGACGATTATATGAATATATAAAAATGTGCTGCACGCTTTCCTCTCAATAACAAAATAAACACACAACAAAAACGACAGCGGTGAGAAAGCAGCAGTTTAGAAAGCATCTGATATTAAAATTACACTTTTATGAAAGTTTGATTATAAAGTATATTTGAGACTATATAGACTGTATAGATCTGGCTATGCGAGACAATAGTTTGAATTAATAACATTATAAGCTTTCATTTAATGTGTCATTGAACAGCTCTCGGGAGCGCGTAAGCGTCACATGCTTTTGATTTTCCCGGCAAAAACATAAAAATCAGTCTACAGGCTTTCATAGACAAACTAGGAAGTCGGAAAAGATGTCTATTCACACATTGGCAATTAAAAAGCGATTAATATGTGAAAATTCTTCCAGATAGCCCCTTTAATATCGCCCATTTATTGGTCATCGGTCAAAAACATTCAAATAATACTTAAAGGGATAGTTCACCCCAAAATGAAAATTCTGTCAGTAATTACTCTCCCTCATGTTGTTCAACCCCGTAAGACTTTCGTTCATCTTCGGAACACAAATTAAGATATTTTTGATTAAATCTGAGAGCTGTCTCCCTCCTCCATAGGCTTCTTAAGGGATCGAAACTGGCCGGCCCAAAAGTTTTGAAAGACATCATTAAAATAGTCCGAGTGACTACAGTGGCTCAATCTTAAGTTTATCAAGCGACGAGAATACTTTTTGTGCGCAAAAAACAAACAAAAATTACGACTTTATTCAACTATTCATTTCCTTCTCTGTACGGCCGTGAGATTTCATGTAGTGATATTGCGCAAAGCTTCTGTGTTGCACGTCACACGCAGGCTCACGATTGGCCGACGCTGGTCATGTGTGTGATGCGTGTGACGTACAACCTAGAAGCTTTGCGTATTTTCACTACGTGAAATCTCGAGGCCAACAGAGAAGGAAATGAATAGTTGAATAAAGTCGTTATTTTTGTATGTCTTTCATAACTTTTGGGCCGGCCAGTGTCGATCCCTTAAGAAGCCTATGGAGGAGTGATCCAGCTCTCAGATTTAATCAAAAATATCTTAATTTGTGTTCCGAAGATGAACGAAAGTCTTACGTAATTACTGACAGAATTTTCATTTTTGGGTGAACTATCCCTTTAACTCGTCCTGAAACCATTTCTGCTAAGGATGAATGATTCCTGAAATCACGTGGCATATTGAGAAGACGACTTTTATAAGATGTGCGATTTTCAGATGGCAGACAATAAAATAAACGGGGGGGGGGGGGGGGGGTCATATTGAAGGCGAAATCCAAGCCATGTATAGAGAGGACAATATAGACTTGGGCTTGGCAGGTGGGCTCAAACCCATCTTGTATCTAATTCTAAACATTTTGTTTTGTAGACTCGGAAGGGAAACTGATCAGAGGGACGCAGCTTGTCCATATGACCCTGATGATGCATAACTGGGTCGTACCATCACACATCTTCGCCCATAAGCTGCTTTCTCTATATCCTCCTTCAAGCACCACTGCCATTATTTTACCCCGTCCATCATCCATAGAATAGTCTTGTGTTCAGTCACAGCCTCACATGGCTCTTAATCCCACTGACAAAGAAACAAGAGCTGCCCTGTTTTAGTTTAGCCTGTTTATTGAGGGCGGATTATTTTCACTGAGTGTAAGTGTTTGTAGTCTCGTTTTTCTGTTCTTCCTCCTTGACTTGTTAAAACATATAAGGATTGTCCTTCAGAGAAAAGGGGACAGAGGCGCCCACAAATCTGCCACTTCATCAGGTTGGTGGATCCACAACATTCACGCGTGCACCTAAAAATCACTGAATGAATGAAAGGTTTCATTGGATTCGTTGTCCTCCGCTTCTTCTGTGTCTGTCTCAGGCAGTGGATGAATCAGTTCCGACTGATGTTTGAGGTGGACCCTCTGTTAGAAGAAGCAATGGGAGATCTCTGGGCTCTGGTCAGGGTTGAAGGAACCGATTCACACTATCAGCTCTTCAATACACCTTACATGTGAGTGTTTGTATATGCGAGATTCAAGTAGCTTTATAGGCATGCCAGAAAATCTTTCGGTCAGTAACCTTATATCTACTGTAAGTGGAAATGTGTGTTTCTCGTTATTTAAAAAAAACTTTTGATAGTTTTGATTTCCTTAGACATAATTCAATTTGTGTAATTTTATAGTATTGCTAACTGCACTATAATGCTGAAAAGAACAGTTTATATGTGACGAGCTTCGGAACAGTATAAGTTATTTGTTTCAGTAAAAGTCTTTGTTTCTGACTACATTCTTGTCTTCACCAGTCTGATTTGTGACGATCTATTTGGTTTCTGTCTGTCCATCACTATGTCTGAAACCAGTAATCCTCCAGTGAATGTTTCCCAGACTCCCTCTCCCTCTGTGAAGAAAAGGAAGGTTTCGCTGCTGTTTGACCACATGGAACCAGATGAGATGGCCGAACACCTCAGCTACTTGGAGTTCAAAAACTTCTGTAACGTCTCAGTAAGTCACCCTGAAGGCTTATGACAGTATCTCTCACATCTGACCAGATGTTGCAGGGAAAGCTAGTGCAATCTGAGACTATGCGACAGTCTAACCTCATATAATGCTGAAGTGACGGCACAGACTTGCGCTGACTAATAAAGCAACCATAATCACACCCATTGCACTCATACCAGGACATGTCAGATCATATCAGAGGATCGTTATGTCTTGTCGATCACATTCATGAGTGCTCGACACATCTGGATTCAGCTGTGACTGTTGTTGTGTGTCACGTTAGTTCCTGGACTACCGCAGTTACGTGGTTCATGGCTCAGTGAGGGATAATCCGGCGCTCGAGCGCTCTGTCATGCTCTGCAACGGAGTCTCCCAGTGGGTCCAGCTCATGATCCTCAACAGACACACCCCACAGCAGCGAGCAGAGGTCTTCACCAAGTTCATTCATGTAGCACAGGTAATTACATACAAACACACACACATTCAGTCGAGCGCAACGGTAGGCTTCCCCAAATACAAGTAACATTCATTTTCTCCTGAGAAATTGAACTTTAGCAATGAAATGTAAACACTTTAAGACACCTACAATAGGATCAGAGGTTGTTAAATGATGGTATACGATTTCTTTTTTTTTAAAAGCAGGTCCAAATTCACGATAAAGATCTACACTACCCATAATCCTGGAGAGGAAGCGATATTATGTGGCAACAAAGATCTAATTACTTTGATATTTATTTAAATTGTTAATATTAATTATTAACTATATATATATATATATATGTGTGTGCTGTCCAATTGATTAATCGCATCTAACATAAAAGTTTGTTTATATAATACATTGTGTGTATATATATTTTTTATATTTATATATAAAATATATGCATGTGTATATATACACACACACACACACACACACTGACACACACATACACACATATACATGCATACATATATGTGTGTGTACACACATGACATACATATAATATTTATATTATATTTTTTTATATATATATATATATATATATATATATACATATATTAAATAAACACAAATTTTATGTTAGATGCTATTCATCGATTTAACAGCACTAATATAGATACAGTATACAGTGACATTTTGTAATAAAATATCCGTAGTCTATACTTACAATTAATCACCTATAATTAATAGTTTAAATAATCAGTCAAATCAGTATATAATCAATAATTGCTGTTTTGATTACATCCAAGCCAGTACTTAGTGGAATTTGTAGTTAATTCATTCATACGCAATCTTTTACTTCCTTTGTATATTTTTTCTGCTTCTAATCAAAGTTTGTACTGTTGGGATTCTTTTGGCTTTAAACTTTTTTTCTTTTTTTTTGAAGAATGTTTTTAAAAAAAATACTCTTTGGAGAAAATGAATTGGATTGGATAAACACACCTGGAAACCAATTTTGTGAGCACTGAGCAGTCGCTGTTGCGTTCTGTTGTGGATCTGAAAATGAAAGAATTGTACATGTTGAAATATGCAGTCTGGAACAGTACGTCTGTAACTTTCCATCAAGACACTGACGTAAAATGTACTATAGAGAACATGACAAAACATGTGGTTTATCTCCGACCCTGCGGCAATTCGTTTTTTAGGTTGCCTGTGATATCTGTCCGTGAGATGTCTGACTCATCGTAAAACATTTTACAACATGACACTGAAGACATGAACATTTTTTTGATTACAAAATTTAAAACCATGTAAATTCATCATCGGTCGGTTGATGAGTGACACCTATCAGGATAAGCCGGCTCACTTTGAGGATGCCTGAGCATTTCATTTATTGGTTCAGAGGAAACGATTACATCATTATGTGCTTTGTGTGCTGGCCTGTATTTAACCACACAAACATAAACGTACGTACAAGACAACCCAAAGAAAACACCTAGAAAACATGCAAATGCGTCAAATGATGTGTCAGCGAGGAAATCTGATATATAAGTGTGCCACTCGAGTGTAATGTTCCTGTATTGGGAAATGATTTGGGAGAACTGTTGCGTAACTGTCGCTTTCAAGTGCTTTTTTACAGGAAAGAGGATGTAAGCAGCTCGGTGTTGCCATGCATCGAGAGCGTGTAACGCTACGATTCACTGCGTTTTTTCCTCTGTACCCCGGTCTGAGCAGAAGCTGAGAGCTCTACAGAACTTCAATACTCTGATGGCGGTGATAGGAGGCCTGTGTCATAGTTCCATCTCTCGTCTTAAAGACACAGCCAGCCTGCTGTCCTCTGATGTCACAAAGGTCAGTCTGTCTGACCCCTAGGTTTGCTAGCCACATCCTCTTTGCTCACACGCAACTATTTTTACAAGGGCTTAACAAATTGCCTGATGTTAAGTCATTGATCTATGTATTGATTCTTTGATTAGTTCGAAACAGCTGCATCTTCACAACACAGCCACCATAAGTCAATCATTTTCACTGTTTTCAGTGTTTAATATTAGTTCAGTTGTATGCAGTTCTAGTGGAGCCAAATCCACAGAAATCTAGGTTTCCCTCCAAATTCAGTGCAAAAATGATTGCAGATTGTTTGTGGGCCAGTCTTACTGAAGGATTCGGGCTCCTTGCGTAAATGTTTTAGTTGTTGTCCTATTTTGGAAGGACAATTGAAATAACACTCTTGCTGTTTTGCCCTTGTGTAAGGTACAGGTTGCTTAAGGTTGAACTGTTTCTGCGAGCAGGGTACTATAAATCTCTGAATACCTTTATTCAGCATTAAATTAATCAAAAGTGACAGTAAATACATTTATAATATTACAAAAGATTTCTATTTCAAATAAATGCTGTTCTTTTGAACTTTCTGTTCATCAAAGGTTCCTGAATCATGGTTGCAATTAAATTACATTTTAAAATTGTAATAATATTTCACAATATTTCTGTTTTTACTACATTTCTGATTGATGCAGCATAAGATAACATTAAAAATATTTTGAAATCCAAACTTTCAAAAGGTAGTGTACATTATGCTTATATTAATTTATACAACTTGAAATGTTAAAAAATGTATAAGTGTATGTTGAAATTAACAGATTAATAAATTATGTAATTACAAAAGTGGAGTAAGCGATTTCTGATTGGACTGAGCAGCACAACACACTTATACCCAATCAGCAGTAGGGGGTGTGTCCCCTCATGATGGGGGAGGAGAGTGTGCCAATCAGCAGTGAGGGGCGTGTCCACTCATGATGGGGGAGGAGAGTGTGAGCAAGAGGGAGTTTTGAAGAAACACTGTAGAAAGAGAGATGGCCGAGAGACATTACAAATACAAAAGAGAAAATCTCAGAGGACTATCACAGGAAAAAGGAGGATTATGATCAGGCAAGAGCTTTAGGACATGCATTAATATTAGAAAAGCTTTTCAGCACTGGAGAGACCTAAGCGGGAAGGCCTGAGGTTGCGTTGTTTCTGCTCCATTAATGAGTAACATTGGTTTTGCCACGTTTCACAGATCCAAGATATATGTTATTGTAATGTTAGGTATAGTAACAGGACAGTTTTGACTGTCTTTGTTTGTCTGGAGCTGCTGGAAACTAACAACCAACTCTTATGTACTCTGTTTATTTTTTGTTCTTCCTTGTCGTTCGTTCGTCGTCTTTGCTTTATTTTTTCCGAAGCATTATTTTGCTTTGCCTCAGCTATGATAAAGAGTCATCCACTCTTGCATTGTGTGTTGGTGCATTTTGGGGGCAGAGCAGGGGTGTGTTTGTTTGGGTTGATTTAAAATATCAACAGTGTTTCTCAGAAATCATTTACTGGACCTTTAACTAATATTAAAAAAGCGATCTTTAAAACTAAATGAGATCTAATTTCTCAGAAAGGCTCAACACCTGTTATTTCCCTTTCCCCCCCAGACTCTCAGTGAGCTCACAGAGCTGCTGTCATCCTACAGCAACTATTCAAACTACAGGCGGGTGTATAGCGAATGCACTGGATTCAAGGTGCCCATCTTAGGTGTTCATCTCAAAGATCTGATCTCCCTCAACGAGGCGTTGCCAGACTACCTTGAGGACGATAAGATCAACTTGGGGAAACTGCAGCATTTATACAGCAACATTAGCGACTTGTTGGCCATCCATGACTGCACCCCACCGTTTGAGTCCAACAAAGACCTGCTGCACCTGCTAACGGTGAGACAGAGGAAATGGTGGTTTGAAAGTGATTTATTAACAACAAATCCATTTATACTGGAAAGCCTTTCTTCTCGGAAGTGTTTGTTGTGCCTCATGCATGCTGTGGGTTGTAAATACCTGACCAGGCCCCACCAGTACATGGAATAATTGTGTCTATTTAGAAGCATGTAAACATGTCTTTATTAGATTTCCATAGAGAGCCTGCATCTATTTATAAGCCTAAATAAGTATTTTTAACATCTCGCCGGGCAGCCCTCATCTTTGTGGTTATGCTCGGCTGTTTGTGTGTGATACTGAGAGATGTGGATTGCAAACAGTAGGCGTCCTCTCATGTGTGACGGTTCTGCCCCACCTTGCCCACAGCTCTCGCTAGACTTGTGTTACACGGAGGATGAGATATATGAGCTCTCCTACGCAAAGGAACCCAAGAACCCCAAAATTCAGGTGAGGCCCTCAAAATAAACATTGCCTTGCTATCTGGCTATAGCTCATGCTTAGGATTCAGGCTTCAATCAAACACCTAACACAAGATATTAATGTCAACGACATGGGTATATTTATTTATATAGTTCTTAAATATTAATTTATTTAAATGTATTCATTTATAGATGAATGATTTGAATACACATCTATTATGAGAAGTCTATCTATCTATCTATCTATCTATCTTTTATCCATCTTCTATCCATCCATCCATTTATCATCTATCTATATATCATCCATCCATCATCTCTCTATATTCTATCCATCCATCCATCTGAAAGTCTTGAAAAAAATATAATTTTTTTGCAATTTATACATTAAAATGTTCACAGGTAATTGTACTCTTACTGTCATTGACACCAGTTACTAATGACTAGTTTGTCTATCTATCTATCTATCTATCTATCTATCTATCTATCTATCTATCTATCTATCTATCTATCTATCTATCTATCTATATCTATCTATCTATCTTCTATCCATCCATCCATCTATCATCCACCCATCATCTCTCTATCTTCTATCCATCCATCCATCTGAATGTCTTGAAAAAAAAAATGCAATTTTTTGCAATTTATACATTAAATGTTCACAGGTAATTGTACTCTTACTGTCATTGACACCAGTTACTAATGACTAGTTTGCAATCAAGTTTTAATAGCAAAAGAGCTCAAAAAGGTCACAAATGGCATCATAATTTTTGAAAAAGCTACTACAAATTCATTTTGGGTCACAATAATCCTAAAAGTTCTTAAGAAGTTTGCAAACATCAGCAGGCGAAAAATGCCATATGGACCATTATATCATAGAGAATTGGAGTTGTGCTTTTTTGACATGGCCCAGTAAGAAACCAGCAATAACACTATGAACCACATGGAACACCCTGAAAACCTCTCAGAGCGCCTGAGCAACCACATAGCAACACCCTGGTAACCTCCAACGGTACCATGGCATTATTGCAAGCAAGCATCACTCAGATTTTCTTCAGAAAGTATGAAAATGTAGTTCTCTAACATCTTAAAAAGACTGCATGCACAAACTTTGACACGCATTACATATTAGACATATTCAACCGGCTGATATTCACGACTTATGCTAGTGTTTTCATATCGTCTGACCTTGTATGTGACCTGTTTATAGACAGGGAGTATCCCGTTCAGATGTGTGGGTACAGGATTCGGCGCACTCCTCTTTGTGCAAACACTTCAAAGAAAACCACAAAAAAGACACATTGCTGAAAGACGCGCGATCGTTATCTTCGTTGCTTTCTGTGTGGGTGTTGTTACGCACAAGCTTTGTTTGATTATTTCCTATAAAGCCTCTTGCCCTCTTCGCATTTTACAAATAAAACGGCTTTGTTTGTATAACGTTTTCCAACGTCGCTGATCTTATGAGCGCTGGTGTTATGCAAGTGTCAAAACAAAACTGTCAGGTCTCTAACCACACTTGTTCTGTAGCCCGTAGCTCCGGTGAAGCCCCCAGTGGTTGCAGAGTGGGGTTCGGGACTGACTCCACGCCTGGATCCCGCAACCATCTCCAAACACGTTAAACAGATGGTGGATGTAAGTGAGAAACGTGCTTTTTCCCACTCTTATAGGGCCAGTTCCTTACTGTGACAGTGTGACAGGTTCCTGGCCGTCCACTCTCACTTCCTTAACAGCATGCAAGACCAAATGTCACAAACAGATTTCAGATGTCAGTCTCTCGCTTTCAAGATAACAATGATTGCGTTGCCCCCTACAGTCCATCATGAAGAACTATGATTTGAACATGGACGGCTACATTTCTCTGGAGGACTTTGAGAAGATTGCTGCAAATTTCCCCTTCTCCTTCTGCACACACGAGAGCGATAGGTATGAGGCCTTTCACACTCCGATAGACGCAACCCGCAAAACACACAAGAAGTGAAACTAACACTTTTTTTCGTCCAAAGCTTTTTTGGTGTTTTAGAAAGGAGTATCTTAAGATCACCACGACTACATATATTTGATCAAAAATACAGTAAAAAAATCCATTTACTATTTCAAACTGTTTATTCCTGTGATGCAAAGCTGGATTTTCAGCATTATTACTCCAGTCTTCAGGGTCACATGATCCTTCAGAAATCATTCAAATGGATTTTGATTGATTTGAAAATTGAAATATTTTGTAACATTATAAAACTTGATTAATTTGTCTTAATTGCTATATATATATATTTTCTCCAGGCTTGATTGACTTGTGTGTGCAATTCATTAAATGAATCAATCTCTGTCCTTTATTTTTCAGAGAAGGAGAGATCAGTAGAGAGGAAATCACTTCATATTTCATACGTGGGATGTCAGTGTGTGCTAAGCTCGGCTTCAATCTCCACAACTTCCACGAGACCACGTTCAAAAGGCCCACATTCTGTGACTCCTGCGGAGGATTTGTGAGTGTTTAAACTGAGGACCATTGCATCTGTGCAGCTCTGTCTTTGTACCTCATTTAACTTTTGTCCCTCTATTGTCCCAATAGTTATGGGGAGTCATAAAGCAAGGCTACCACTGCAAAGGTTAGAACATACGAATCCACCAGTTTCCTATAGATAGGCACATCCGCACCATTTATCATAACCCTGCTCTTTCTTTCAGACTGTGGAGTCAACTGTCATAAGCACTGTAAGGATGTGGTGGGAATGGAGTGTATGAAGAGGTTCCAGGTGACCAGTAGCTCGTGTCCCAGCACCCCAGGCCCCGTCTCAGGCCACCACACTAAGGGCAACAGCTGGAGTGAGTTTTCTTATGCCAATCATGATACTGTATTCAGTAAGTCAGCCAGTCAATATCGCAGGGTGATCATGGCATAGAGGGACTTTGTACTATCCTGAAGAGGTTTATATTTGCAATAATGACCTTTTGGTTGTACACTATGCCATTTTTAAATGATTATCACATAAATCGGGTAAATGGATATGAAATATTGATTTGAGAATTATATCATTATGCAATAAGAAAGAGACCATGGTGTGATCATGAAACTAGCATAGCTAAGAGGAAGAAAAATATTTGGATAGGAATATTTGTGTGTTAATTATATTGTTTGTTAATATATTTTAGCAGTCATTATTAAAAAGAAGATTGCATGTTAACACAGTCAACAAATCAGAATTTAAAGTATTCCAGAACACCTTGTATTAAAGGTGCACCCACTGTGTAATACTTAGAAGGATCTGTTGACAGAAATGCAATATCACATACATAACTATGTTTTCAGTGATGTATAAAGACATTACATAATGAACCGTTATGTTTTAAGTACAATAGTATGCTACCATTCGTGAAACTGTTTAATGGGTATTTTAAGCATATTAAGATATGAACAACAGCGGTATGCTATTTTAAAATGAACCAGGTATCACCCCCATAATGATGTATTTCCAATTTAAACAGGAAGTTCGGTCGGGTCATATATATACACTCACCGGCCACTTTATTAGGTACCCCATGCTAGTAACGGGTTGGACCCCCTTTTGCCTTCAGAACTGCCTCAATTCTTCGTGGCATAGATTCAACAAGGTGCTGGAAGCATTCCTCAGGGAGTTTGGTCCATATTGACATGATGGCATCACACAGTTGCCGCAGATTTGTCGGCTGCACATCCATGATGCGAATCTCCCGTTCCACCACATCCCAAAGATGCTCTATTGGGTTGAGATCTGGTGACTGTGGAGGCCATTTTAGTACAGTGAACTCATTGTCATGTTCAAGAAACCAATTTGAAATGATTAGAGCTTTGTGACATGGTGGAAGTAGCCATCAGAGGATGGGTACATGGTGGCCATAAAGGGATGGACATGGTCAGAAACAATGCTCAGGTAGGCCGTGGCATTTAAACGATGCCCAATTGGCACTAAGGGGCCTAAAGTGTGCCAGGAAAACATCCCCCACACCATTACACCACCACCACCAGCCTGCACAGTGGTAACAAGGCATGATGGATCCATGTTCTCATTCTGTTTACGCCAAATTCTGACTCTAACATCTGAATGTCTCAACAGAAATCGAGACTCATCAGACCAGGCAACATTTTTCCAGTCTTCAACTGTTCAATTTTGGTGAGCTCTTGCAAATTGTAGCCTCTTTTTCCTATTTGTAGTGGAGATGAGTGGTACCCGGTGGAGTCTTCTGCTGTTGTAGCCCATCCGCCTCAAGGTTGTGCGTGTTGTGGCTTCACAAATGCTTTGCTGCATACCTCGGTTGTAACGAGTGGTTATTTCAGTCACTGTTGCCCTTCTATCAGCTCGAACCAGTCTGGCCATTCTCCTCTGACCTCTGGCATCAACAATGCATTTCCGCCCACAGAACTGCCGCTCACTGGATGTTTTTTCTTTTTCGGACCATTCTCTGTAAACCCTAGAGATGGTTGTGCGTGAAAATCCCAGTAGATTAGCAGTTTCTGAAATACTCAGACCAGCCCTTCTGGCACCAACAATCATGCCACGTTCAAAGTCACTCAAATCAACTTTCTTCCCCATACTGATGCTTGGTTTGAACTGCAGGAGATTGTCTTGACCATGTCTACATGCCTAAATGCACTGAGTTGCCGCCATGTGATTGGCTGCTTAGAAATTAAGTGTTAACGAGCAGTTGGACAGGTGTACCTAATAAAGTGGCCGGTGAGTGTATATCGAAGAGCCAGTACCTTTTATTTTTAAGTCAGCATGAAATGTAAATTCAAGGTGTTTTCTGAATGCATATTGTGAGTGATTCATCCATGTGTATGTTTTAATTTTAAAAGTCTTAATATTTTGGTGAAATGACAGACTTCTCTCTGGTGACGTATGTCAAACATCATTTAGTCCGCTAGTCCGATGCACCGGCTGTACGTCAACACTTGTGTCACTTTTTCAACAGACATCACAGTTCTCCTAACCAACTTTCAGTTAGGTGTTAAGTTCACATTCAAAATGCATGAAAGCTATCATTCTTCCATAACACTAGCAAAGATTGTCACATGCATCAATGCAACTGCTGTTGTGCTCACAGTGTGAAGCGTTTTGAAAAACTGACCTAAGTATCGAGAAATGTGTCCTAGGGATTGTAAAAAAACAACTATTTGCATAGACAAGAACTTTAATTTGCTGCTTGGCGTCAGTTGTAAATGGTATTGGGGTGTTATAATTTTAGAAACTGTTTGATAAGACATTTGTGTAGTGCAGGATGAGTCATCAGTATATTCTTGATCTGTTTTCCTGGAAGAGTAAGACTGAAATTGAAATGTGTATATCTGCTAAAAGTGAATTCATGTCAATGTCTGCGAGTACACTAGCACACAGATAGCTTCAAAGCTAATACACATGGATTAAGAGCCATAGAAATCCGTTAAGTCTTCATAAAACGGAAGCTGTGACAGTATTGTCTTCCCTATTGTGACGTGAAACGTCTTCTCGAACAAAAAAAAGAAAGAAAAAAAGAACAGCGGGACTGATTGGATGGTTGTTAGCCGTGCGTAGCCAGATCTTCAGACTGACTTCATAGCAGCTTTTATTGGCCAAGGACCGTCCAGAGGCCGTCTGACCGACATGTAAAGCAACCAATCAAATCAGTTCGTTCTGTTCCGCGCAGTGTTGGGGAAGTTACTTTTAAAAAGTAGTGTAACTCGTTACTTCTTAAAAAAAGTAATCCGTTACTTTACTTAGTTACCCCATATGGAAAGTAACTTTTTACGTTACTTGTTACTTTTACGTTACTTTTATGTTGCTTGACTTTGGGCAGAACACAATATCTGTTCCTAAATGTGTAGACCTACATAAAATTCTACTATGCAGAATGTCATATATAATGCCATAAATTCATAATGCATTCATCAAAATGTTTAATATTTATGAAGAAATGCCCGTTAATGGATAGGCATATGTATGGGCAGCGCTAGGGAGGGGCTAGAAAGAAAGCCCCCAAGAAAGACCAAAGCTCCCCGTTAGCACCCCCAAAAATAATTTCTGGGAGCAAAAACGTATCTTGTTATTTCGACATAATAAGGGGACATTCTAATCTGCATTAAGCCAAATTAAGCGTTCTTATAATGGTTTTCTATGGGAGGAAAATGCTTAACGTGTAATTAAAAGCAATGGGTTCATATTCTAGGCTCATCTGATTTTTTGTACATAGTATAGCCTACTTTATTATGATTTTAGTATCATAATGATTAATAAATGCACGCACAATTATCCGTGAACTTGATAAATGTTGCAGATATGTTTTACTACGCACGTAAACAAATGCCTTTCAACTTATGTGCAAAATTCAGAATTAAATAAATGTGCAGCAATTTGTACAAATAGGGAGGGGCTAGAAAGAAAGCCCCCAAGAAAGACCTACTATAGTCTAGGCCTACTATACGTGTTGTAGCCATTAAATAAGCGCATTTAGTTTCATATTTGTTAAAATATTATAATGTTATTTTTTTTCCATCTATGTTGATTATGAAAAGTGAACAGCATGAGTAAGATGGATGCGCAATATATCGGGAGACATTCGGTCAGACATGATTTTGACCACTTCATTAAGTCTTGTTTTGAAGAAAGCCTTTCTTTAAAGCTAATTTCGTTTTGTATAAATTGTATCTTAATTTTATATCAATAATTTTTTATCAACCAATTGCCTGGATTTAATAAATAAGAAGCAAATATAGCAGACAATATAATCATGACATGGAGGCGCCGGCGCGGTCACTTGTTGCGCGTGAACTGGAGCGCATCTCATCATAAATTAACTGAAACTCAGCGTATGCCTCACAGACATGAGAAATATATCTATATATAGAAAGCTTGAAATGTCTTTAAACGAAACAATTCAAAACAAAAAGAAATAGGCTACTCTCTGATTATGTAATCCATTATGTGCATTTCTCTCTGTAGGCGTTCACCACGGAGATGGCGATCGCTGTCAAATCTGTCCCTGGGAAAAGTAACGTTGCGCCGAATTGAAAAAGGAACTACGTTTCGTTACCAAATTTTCAGTAGTAGCGCATTACACTACTTTTTACCAGAAAAAGTAGTTACGTTACTGTAACGCGTTACACACAACACTGGTTCCGCGTCATGTTTAGGGGCGTGAAAATGTAATGTCGATGTCCCTACAATAACAGACTGGTGTGTAAAACTCTTGGACGTACTTTAAAAGTCTTTGCCATGAACTTTACATACTTTTGAAGATCCAGCGTTTAGTTGACCCTGATAAGCGCTCATTGTCACAGTTGTAAACACAACGGCGTTCTTTTTCCGTGAGGGGGTTTGGCTTCACGGCGGCTTTGTTTACAGGCTTTGTTTGTTAAAGAACGCGACACACACGTCTCCTGCTAATCCTGTCGAATTCAACCAATCAGATGACGACTTCAAAAATGCTGGATTGTTTCCAGTTAAGTGTGCCATATGCATCAGACGTTCAGCCGTGTGCGTGACCGGTTAAGGCTAGCTTGTGGTTTGCTGTTGCTGTGATCTCATTTGAGTGATGGGTTGTCCCGTCCTTGCGTCACTAAACACGTCATCAAAGAAGAGAAGTTACAAGAGTGAGGGGAAGTTAGCTATTTTCCACGGATAAATCATTTAGAATAAATGCTCAATTTTGATTTCATGGTGACTAAGTTGCCAGATGATTTATTGCCTTTGTTTTCCGGCCTTTCGAATCAGGTTCTGAAGAGGAAGCATTTGTCTTTCCTAATGGAAACCGATCTGAAAGCTCCAAGGGCCAAACTTCATCAGACAGCGACGCCGAGGCGGCCACACTATCCGACAGGTCCACTCAGACAGACCCAGGAGTTTGGACGCCGGTGGCCAAACGGAAAGATCGTCTTCATTCCCAGAAACAACATCCCCCCCTTGAAAAGGTATTGCCATGAAGCACACAATGTTTGGTTTTATCGCATTCCTCACAGCAAACTTAAATAGATTGCATAGAAACTTAAGTTGGTACGTGAGACTGGTTAGCATACACATCTTGAGACTAACGTTACCTGCCTTATCATCCCAGAGTGCCACTCTTCCAGCAAGGGTGCGAGGTTCATCTGCCCCTAGTTCTCTCCTACAGGAGAAAATGGATGAACTGAAGCTGAACAGAGATAAACGAAAGGAGCCAGACTGAAGTAGTCTGTGCAAATGGCCGTTTGTTTGTGTGTGGTGGAACTGTTAACTACACTGGACAGAACAGACTGAAGAACATGTCCTCATCTTTCTCGCCAACTGTCTTGTTCTATTGTCTTCAACAGATTGTTCATGACGTTCATTAAATGTGATGAAATTCTACCCGGAAGGGATTTTATTTAAGGGATTACAGATGGTCCGCTTCCTCAGGGCTCTTTGAAACCCTGCCGGTGGATCCGTACAGTAAGAACTCTCTATGCACCAGCGTCAACTGCCAGCGAGGACTGGTTAAACGGACCTCGCATCTACTCAAAGGTGGACTGCGACATCATCAACCTCACTACCACTCGTATTTGTACGAGACCGATGGACTTTCTTGCCTTTCGTCACAAAGTGCGAGGTGCTTTCTGCAAGAATCGTCCGATCGAGTACAAACATCTACTGCCTTAACATTCACACTGATGGAAAATGACCAACTGTATTGGACTTGAACAGGAAGAACGTACCTCCTCTGTTAAGGGACGTGATTTCGGTGCTGATATAACACCCAGAATGCATCACTGTGCCTTATGTAATGAACAATTCACTGAGGAGACGACAAAGGGTATTATATCACTGTTTATATCAGACAATAGTCCTGTCTCAATTCATTAGTGATCGTGTCCATCTGGCGTATGGAAAAAGAGCGGGAGAGGGTCAATTAAAACGAACACTGTGGACCAATTTTGATTGTGTTTCTAACATGTTTTCTGTTAGATCATCTCCAACTTGAATGTCTGTTTTACTAAATCTTGAATTTAGGCTATAGATTTTTATTTATTGAGGAATGATAAATCTTAAGTATTTTCCATAATAAAGCACTGCCTGATGTGATTGAAATAAAAATGACAAATGACCGAAATGTTTTTTTTTTGTCCCATACGAATGAACGCTGGTTTCATTAAATTCGACATGTTGTGAGTGTGACAGCACTTTTAAACCATCAGCAGAGCCACTGTAGTGTTTTACAATTTAATTCTCAAAGCAAAAATGGATTGGACAGGACAGAACAAATAACGTCCACGAAGAACACTAAACAGTTCAGAAATAAATGCGGTAGTTTCTCAGCCAGGATAGTTATGAACACTTAAAATTGGCTTGCGTTTTCTTGCGGAAGAGAAGTTATCAACACAAAACCCTTCATCTTCTCATCTGCGATGCCAATGAGTATCTAAAACATTGAACAACTACAATTTAAACCAAAAAAAAAATCTTTACACTCACGTCTCGTGTTAAATTAAGACTTATAATAGTTATATGAAAAGCAGCTTCATTCCAAATTAAATCAAATTTAAGCAAATCAAAACTTTGTTCAGTGTTGAAGCATTTGACAGTTTCTACACCTGCAGGCTGGTTGTGGTACTACAACATGAAGCACCTTCCAATAATAATATCTTTCACATATATTAGAAATCAGTCATGTTATGGTCCTTCATTTCAAACTCGGGGGTTGTATCTTGTATGATCATATCTGTACATTTTATACGGAGTCATTTAGTTCCAAACAATCGTTGACTTATAACAGTCTTGGTAATAAATGTGTACATGGTATGAAAGAGAAAATTAAATGATGTGGACGGACGTGTTTTAATAAGAGAAGCGTGGCATGGTGTGTGTATACGTGTGTGTGATTACAGAGGTGAGGATGTCAGAGCGTTGTTCCTGTTCACTGTGAGCCCTGCTGTCCAGAGTAGTTCCCACTCCCATATTGACTGTAGTACTGGTTCCACTGGCTCTGATTCTGATAATACTGCTGCCACTGCTGCGCATACTGGAGAAAAACATCATGCTTTAATAAAACGACAACTTTACAACAAGCTTTAGGAACTTATTTTACAGATGACAACATGTGACGTCGTACTCAAAGCCTTGTGAACACTCTTAGTGAGCATGGAGTGAACGCACCTATGGTTTTACATTTCAATCTGATCTAATAATGACAAAAGTGTTTAAACATAATAAGAAGACCTAAAATGATTATAAAATATTCAAGGAATGTTAAAAAAAAAATCTATTAACAGGATATGTGGCATGCAGACAATAATTTGAATCACTCAATCAGTTTATTATAATAAAGAACAGAAATTGCATTTACAGTGTACACACACTTCATTGTTTACACACCATTTTTAAATAAAAAAGGCAAACTTTTTATGCGTTTTGCCCGTTCATTTACATGACCACAGTGTTTTGGGGGCCTGAAAATGCAAACTTTTGAAAACGGGTTTCAAAGTGCATGTTTTTGAAAATGATAGCATTATTGTCTCTGTGTAAATTACAAAAACATGAATTTGTGAGAACGGTGACATCATGCGCACGTGTGTATTACGTGTTCGGTCTATAGGTGCGTAGTGTTTCTTTACAACTACGTTTTTGCGGATCCTTGTGAACGAAGATCGTTTTGACAATCTGTCCTTGAGAAACGCCAAATGAAAACTGTTCCGTTGTAGTACATGAATAGTTTTTAAATGGACTTCTTTCACTTTATTATAAAATTAACATTCGGGTGGAGTGCCAACAATCTGTCATATGCTTCATTATTATTAGCAGTAATAAAATTTCTCGGATATTGATTTGTACATTTTAAACCCAGAATATTAACCCCTTTGTATGATAGTTGAGAGATATTCCGAGTTTATACGATTTTACCAAGAGTAGCAGATTAGAAGCTTTTAAAACTGTTCTTTGAGGGACAAGTCAAAATGATTTTCAGCTGCCACAAAAGCTTTCACACACTGTAGCTAAAGTTGTTTTTAAATCACAGAACATTCCTTGTAACTCACCTGTTGATACTGTTGATTGTAGTTTTGCTGGTTATATGATTGCCCAGATCCTTGACTGTCATGGTAACCTTGTCCATAACCTGGATATTGGCTGTAGTTGCCATAGTTGTAGCCTTGGTTGTAGTTTCCTTGGCTATAGTTGCCCTGGTTGTAGCCTTGATTATAACCCTGATGATAACTCTAAAAGATGTTGGGGGGGAAATAGAAAGCAAAATAAAACAAAAACAACAACAAGTAGATAAATGCACACAAACATCTCATAAGGCCCCGATATACTCCCAGTAAAGTTCATTTTTGTCATTTAGCAAACATCCTGACGCCACCCACACTACTGAGACGTTTAGATGAACGTGTGTATGTGCATGCTTTTTACTTTTCAACAACATAAACACACACAAAGAACAGCAGTTAAAGGGGTCCGATTATGCCCTTTTAAGAAGTCTTGATTTTGGGATGTAGTAGAGTATGCTTTTATGCTTGATTGTTTAAAAATCACATTATGTTTCACATATTTTACATTATTAAAGCACCTCTCTCCCAGTCTGGCCCAAACGAATCATTTCGAAGAAGCCCCTCCTTTCAAAATACGAAATGTGCTGTGATTGGTTAGCTGGCCCAGTGTGTTGGGATTAGCAGCACGTATCGAGTGTTGGGGAAATGTCACACCCCTAACCATAACCACAAGCTCTCCTCGGATGTAAATATTAAGAGTGACGTCGATTTCAAACCAATTCAAGCCTGATTCAGACTTACAAGATGATCGTCCAGAACGGATTTCATGCACAGACATAGATTTCCCCTGGACATGGCTGTAAACATCACTCACTTGGCTATTTCCCTCTTTGCTATAGGAGCCGTAGCGGTTATTACTGTGGGTTCCTTCAGACTGATGTCTGCTGCTGTATCCATCTCGCCCGTCTCTGTAATTTCCTCCCCAGCGGCTCTGACTGTAACCATCGCGGTTATAACCTGACAAAGCACAGAGCAAGATGACAAAAACACAAATGACAGAATTGTTGACTAAGTGATCATGACACCCATAAGGTCGCTCCACCTCCCCTATAGCCTCCTGCAGGAGCTCCTCTGTTCCGGTGGTCTCCTCTTGATCCTCCGTGGTTGTCGTACTGCTGGTGGCTGCTTTCACGTCTCCGGGATCCCCAGCTGTCCATGCGTTTCTCAGGAGGAGGCCCGGCCTTACGACCCTCCTCATTGTACCGTTTCACCAGCTCCTCTGCCTCAACTTTCTGAAGCTCAACAAAGATCACCTCATCCAGGAAGTCTCCAACCTCTGGGAGCGCAAAGTTGGCTTTAAAGCCATGGAAAGAGGAAAGAAGGTGGGACAGATCAAACTAACAGAAAACAAAAACTTTATTCAATTCGGAACTCACAGAGAATATTGCTATGAGGATGATGGAACTTTTTTTTAAAGGTGCATTGCGCAACATTTCATGTTAAAAATACCCGTTTTTCTAACCCATACATGCTTAAACAATTGCCTGATGGGCTGAATGAGCCCTTCTCTGATCACTGCGATTGCCTCTGTAATCCTGTACAGTAAAATAAATAAGAGGGATTCGGGATGGATTTGAGACTGGGCGTGACGTCATGCGCGTTCACGCTCACCTGGCTATGTCTGGCAGGATTGTGTATTCGCCGCCATTCTCCGTATCAGCGAAGACAACTCGAGCGACAAAACTTCAGTCAACTTTTGACAAAAGTAGAAGATGGATTCTAAGAGACCGGCTTGTAGTTCATTCCGAACCCCAACGCAAACTCCACGTAAGACAAAGAAAAGAAAACGTTTGTCTAGTGCCACCAAAAGGGCCAAATTGGAGTCAGACACGTGTCGGAATAAGACGAGAGTCAACATTGGGAAGGCTTTCAACAAATGGAGAGATCTCCGGTCTGCTCTAGGGCTCAAACGGGATCCTCACGTTGGCTTTTACAAAGTAATAACTTATATTGTTCATGAACGTGTTTCCATAATAATACAATCATAAGTGGATACAGTAAACACATAAAACAGTTCAACATGGAGATAGATGGAAACAAAAACCAAAGTTTTCTACTACCCCCGTTTTACCCTCACACATAAGTGTGTAATTTACTCAAATGCCTTTCCTTTCATATATTTTAAATGACTTGCAGATTTATAACTGTATTACCTCTGAAGACATTATGACTAAACAAAAGATTTGTGCGGCTGATGCTCCTTTGGTTATGAACAGCTCGTGCTCGTGCAAGCGTGCGTGTGTGTGTGGTCCATGAGCGTGCACACCTCTGGTTGCAGTTTCGCTTGTTGCCAGAGGGGGCATAGTTCTGCAAAAACTCAGAGACTTGCGCAATGCACCTTTAAAACATTTATTTAAAAATCATGCGAGGGAGACGAACAACACTACTGCAAACCAAGAGCAACATCAAAAACACTTCTGGAACTAAACCAAAATGTGTTTATTTGGACTGGTACAATATTAGTGTGAATTATTATTTTATTGGCATTTTTAAATGTTATTGCACTGTAATACACAATGCTTGGTTAGCAGCATCTGATGTTTCATCAAGACACGCAGGTGAGAGTTCAAAAGGACCCAATCAAACTGAGGCCCTGTTTACAGCTGGTAAAGATGCGTTTACGTCGATCGGATCACAAGTAGACGACGGAGACACAAACCCGCTTACATCTGGCGTTTCAATCCGTCTCTTCTGTCCACTTTTAATCACTTCTGTCCTGATTTCTTCGAGGGGAGGCTCTATGGGTGTGTAAATGTTTGGGCTTTTTCAGATCTTTCAATCTAATGGACGAAATAAGCTCATGCAATTTA